AAAAATTGCAATACTTCTAATATGGCGATTGTCGGTAAATCTGTCCATGGAAGGAAAGAGGGATGGGATGGGATAGGATAGGGGAGGGGGGCGGAATGCGGGACTAATTGACAAATTGAGTTTCCAGTTTATCCAACAAACTGGAAGATAGAGTTATAATTAGTGACAAGCCGCAATTTTCGTATGTTGCCTTCTTGAAACGTGAGACGAAAACGATACGTCATTTGACGAAGTTAAAGAAAGTTTCGATGGAAGGAAGAACATAGTTTGAGAGTAAAAGTATTTGGAAACCTGGAAGATAAAGAAAGCGAAAAATGTTAGAAGAATGTAAGAAAGAAAGAAAGAAAGAAAAAAAGAGATAAATAGATAGATAAAGAAAGGAGAAAAAGAGAGAGAGAGAGAGAGAGAGAGAAAAGCTGAAGAAAAAAAGAAGATGAAAGAAGGGAACATTTTTTCGTTGGCTTTGTGTGTACTCTTGTCGAACAATACATACATACATACACATGAAACTTTCTACGAACAGATAAACTTCGCTATTGTTTTTCCGATCGAACTTTTAACAGATTATACGATCTAATTAAACGAGCTTAACAATTTTCATTGGCTATGAATTTTTCGAATTTCATTTCTTTAGATGTTTAATAGGATCTGACGATTGATTGTATGTATATATATATATATATATATATATATATATATTTTTTTTTTTTTCCTCCTATCGTAAGATAAAACTCAAATCCATTCGATAACCAGATGGTTCTATTTGATTTTGTCGATGAGCCGAGCCGTCGGATTACGTCGATTCATCATTCTGTGTAAATATAAACATTGCTAATCCATCGAGCGTAAATGCACGTGCCATGGAGTATATGAAATCAATAATAATATAAGCGAAAAAAAAAAGGTATACTAAGGAGTAAGAATAAAATCAATAATGTAATGTAAATTTTACAAATCGTGACATTTCGTAAATCTATGCGTGTATGCAAGTATCTCGGTATTAATTTTTTTTCTTTTTTCTTTTTCACTTTTTCATTTTTTCTTTTTTTTTTTCTTTCTTTTTTTCTCGTTTTTTTTTTTTTCTTCATACGAGCTCAGTGAAAATTTACGCTTAATTTATAAAACATACCTACCGTTACAAATTTCTCTACGATAGAGATAAATGTCGTGGGGGGGAGGGGAGGGGGGTTACAATTTAGTAATATTAAGTAGAGAATCGTAGGATATAAATTCAGTAGATATTCCTACATACGTTTGGAGAGACTTCGTTAATTTAAATGGGTTTTGCTTAGATCAACAAAAGTTATAGCGTAATCAATCACCTGGTAAAATTCGAAACGTTCGAAAAAGGCAAACATACATACATACATACACACACACACACACACACATACACACACGCAGATACAACTCAGAACTTTCTGCTCGTTATTATTCGATCTGTTCGCATAGAAGCCGAGAAGCTCAGATAAAATACGAGCGACTGGAATGGAATTTCTCGCGGGAGTAACAAGTTTTGTAAATGCTGTTTTTAAAGAATCGCAAGTTTCGCTTGTAAGTTTGTGGATTACGTACGAGACTAGCATACGGGTGGTACGCCTGAAGTCTGTCTCAGAGACCCTAAGCGAGATAGAAAGGGAGAAAGAGAGAGAGAAAGAAAAAGGGGAAAAAATGAAAAAAAAGAGAGAGAGAGAGAGAGAGAGAGAGAGAGAGAGAGAGAGAGAGAGAAAGACGAACGTTTTTCTTTGTGCAGGATAAAACATGTGATAAACGATTTGTAAAAAACGAAAAACTTCTGTTTTTTTTTATTATTATTTTCGTTGTGCCATTGTGGGATCATTCAGAATCATCATTCAGATTCAGAATCAGTTCCGCAAAGTGACCAATTACATTCGTCACTTTAATGATACATCGTATTATAGATAATTTATGTATTATCACGCATCTTACAAATGTCATTTGAGTAGATTCAATACGAACTTTAATGGAATTTTTGCAAATGAAAAGAAAGAAAGAGAGAGAGAGAGAGAAAGAGAGAGAGAAAAAAAGAAAAACCAATATTTTTATTTATAACAAAGTATCGCGATCTATGTGTCAAAAATATAAAAAAAAATCTAGGAAAGACAAAATCGAAATATTATTTATAATGTTTAATCTAAAAGCGCATTTGGAGATATATCTTCCTTCGTCGCATTCGTTTTTTTCGATTATAACGATACTGGCAGTACTTCGAATAACAATATCTGATAATAATAATAATAATAATAATAATAATAATAATAATAATAATAATAATAATAATAATAATAATAATAATAATAATAATAATAATAATAATAATAATAATAATAATAATAATAATAATGATAATAATAATAATAATAATAATAACAATAATAATAATAACAATAGTAATACATTAAGTTAATTGTTTTTCTTAATCCCACGCATCATTTTTTAATTTGTATTGATTTTTTTTCTTAAGTCGAAAAAATCTCAAGTGTCTTTTTTCTTTTTCGTTTTTTCTTTTTCTTTTGTTTATCCTCGAAAAGGATCATCTCTATTATAACTTATAATATTATCTTTAGATTACAAGAGCGATATGTACCAACGGTTAATTACACCTTCTTACTCGCAAAATGTATATAATATATAATTATATTTTATTACTTTTAATACTTTTCCATCTGAGTTTGTTCATTTAACTGTTGGCAAATCAGCGTGCATTTACATAGACACACTTTATACGCTTTATCAAACATATCGAACGTTCCTATGTAAATTCACGTTTTGCACGCGTTGCCCTCTTATCGTCTAGATAATAATTTATACTATGTATACAACTTCGTGTTCACTTTCATATCGATGGCCAATTACCTAGACACATATTCGGGGAAGTGGGAGGGGGGGAGGGAGGGAGGGTGGGGGAAATTTCGATAGTACATTTGATACGTTGAAAATCGTATATTCAATAGAAATATCAAAAATTTTTTAAATCGATAAGAGTGTGTGTGCGAGCGTCGAGCTTAACTTGATCGTATTCGACTGAAGAGAGAACAAAAAAAAATAAATAAACAGAAAAAAAAAGAACTATGCCATTTTAATATTATCTCAATTAAATTATTTTATATTCGACATTGATAATATTATCTGATTCACGAATAAAGCTCGAAATGTATGTATATCTACATATGTATTATATGTATGTAATCAAACCGCGTATTTACTAATTAAACGATCAAGAAACTTCCTATACATCGTTATTCTAACTCTTGTATCTATTAATCCTTATTCGTACTCATACTTCGTTATCTATCGATAGATTCCCATTTAGCTCTCGGAATACATTTCTCTTGGGTTTAATCCAAACTCCTCAAACAAAAGTTCAACTCTCTGCGATATGCGTTTTCGCGAAACACCGGTTACCGTCAATGTCACACCTGTGAACGCATCTTGCAAAAGCAATTTAATCAGATCCTTTTGATCCTTAACCCAGCTGTGCTCAGGTTGCCTTTTTAAACGAGAAAAGAAAAAGAAGTTTTCTTTTTTTTTTCAAGCGCATATATATATATATATATATATATATATGAATATACATAAATATATACATATTATGTATATATAAGTATATAAGAACGAAACGTAACAAGCTAAGGACAGCTGGGTTTTACGAGCTAGACTACAAGCTAGTCTTAATAAATTAATCATAAATTTAATATAATCTTACCCTTATAAGTTCTTAGAAATCCTAGCCAAAATTTGTAACTTAATGACAATTCGATATATATATATCATCGTAATTTTATTCGTTTCTCAGCCGTTATTTAGTTTTAAAGCCCTCGCGATTAGAACATTTAACGAACGTTTTTTATATTAATCGATATATCTCTAAGACTTTCTTTTCGCGAGGGACGATAATATATTTTTGTTAATGTAATCGTTTCGATGACACCGTCAGAGGTTCGTTAGTATACGTTTGGCATCGTGATCTTTCGTGAATAATACGAAGGGAAGGTGAATGAGAATCGAGAAAAGATAAGGAAAAACGAAAGAGAAAGAAAGAGAAAGAGAAAGAGAAAGAGAGAGAGAGAGAGAGAGAGAGAGAGAGAGAGAGAGAGAGAGAGAGAGAGAGAGAGAGAGAGAGAAACAAAAGAAATGAAGCGGTGAATCCTTCGTAAGGATTCAGTTCTGGAAAATACGGTGTGAGTCGAGAAGAAGGTTAACGTGCCACTAATTAATTCCACGAAACTTTCTGATCGACGGATAAAACGGTCGAGTAAGTTTGGTAGTAGTGCTTCGGTAGGGAGGTTTCATGTTAGTAATAACAGTGGTGGGCGGTAGTAGTGGTGGTGGTGGTGGTGGCAGTGGTGGTGGTGGTAGTAGTAGTAGTAATGTGGTGTTGGCAATGATGGTGGTAGTAGTAGTAGTAGTGGTGGTGGCAATGATGGTGGTAGTGGTAGAAAATAGTGATATCGAAGAACGGCCAAGAGTTTGTCAAGTGCGCGCGCCTGTACGCGTGTGCAAGGGTGGACGGAGGGGTAAGGAGGTTCTTCAGAGGCTATGGAAGAACGTTCATTTGTCTTCCAAGGGAGTACCCGTGTGTTTCGTTTCATACCAAGATGGTGGGTGGCTTGCTACTTTCCATCGTGAAACAATACACCAGTCTTCCGGAGCTGTGGCCTGCAACAATGGCGGCTCTCAAAATGACAAGAGAATTTCGCAATTTCTCTTTTCGGACCGCCCTTCTAGATATACCATTCTAGTGGCTCCTTCAGACTCCAAGTGCCATCCATTGATCACGAGCGAAACGATCATGGTCTAATAGAGTTCGATTTCAAAGATATTCCGACGATACTTTAACTTTCCGAGTAAAGAACCGAACAAGAACGTATATATGTAACATTATATTTTATCCTTATTGATATCCATTTGTATATTCTCTTTAACGATTAAACAAACGAATCTTTTATTGTTGACGATGCGTTTCGTACTTTTTTTTTTCTTGTTTTCTTCTTACCTTCTTCGTCTTTTTCTTGTTTTTCTTTTTATTTTTTTCTCCAAGAAAAAAAATAATGTCGCGAGAATGTGCTTATGTAAGTAAGTGTACATGTACGTCAGTCAATCTCTATCTATCTCTCTCTCTCTCTCTCTCTCTTTCTTCTTTTTCTTTCTTTCTTTCTTTTATTCTTTCTCTTTTCTTTTTTCCCTTCTCGCACGCAAGAAATCGATCACTTTTTATTTCTCGTAGCCGTCGACGCCAAAATTATGACAAAATATAAGCCTAAGTACTCTCGGTTCGCCTACGATCCAACTAAAGCGAAAGCAATTTTACTAAAACGAAGATCCAAAGGTGCCATTACGATGTAAGCGCGGCATGTAACTTAGCCAATAAAGCGACACCGGCTGACTGCCCTGTGATTAATTATGACGAATGAGCAACCTGAATTGCCGTGATCGCTTCGCTTATTTCTACGACGTGTCACACACTTTTCTCCGCTTTTCTCTTTTAATAATTTAACGCTTAAAAAGATATTCTATAAGTGACAATATTCTCTTTTCTATTAGACAAACACGTAAGATTTATTACACATTTCTTAACGATTGTTATCTCATGATGTCGTCCTTAATTTTTTTTTTATCATTTTTCTTTTTTTTCTTTCTTTTTCTTTTTAATTTTTTTTTATTTATTTATTTTATTTTATTTTTTTTTTGTTTTTTAATTTAATCATAGATATATCGCAAATAGTAACAGAATAGTTTTATAAATTGACTGACGCAGTTTTTATGTAACCTCCTATCAGTCTTGAATAAACGATCGATACCGATATCATATTTTCTCTCATAATTTTTTTTTCCCTCTTTTTTTTTCTTTTTCGTTTTTTTTTTGTTTTGTTTATAGAATAATACCAGTCGATACAAAATCGTTCCTTTCACAATCCAAATTTTTTTTTTCACAATCCAACTTGTATTCAGTTAACGCAACATCCCTTACAAGAATTTGTTCCCTATCTTAAACCCCACCACCCCACAATCGGCTTTCGAAATATTATTTTTTTTCTTTTTTTCTTTTATCGATTCAATGCGAACTATATCATTGATATCGAATTCTAATAATAATGATTCTTCGTCTTCATCGTTTATGGCTTATGCGCGGTAACGCTAGTAACTTCGACGTAGACTCGTGAAAATCGGTTTGCTATTTCTGTGGACATAGTAAATCGAATGTATCGATATTCGATGATGCGAGCCAACGTACGAAAATAATCGGACGATTCTTACTTCCCTTATCGTTTCTTCAACAATACGATATGATAAACGAAAGTATTCATTTTTGAATGATACATACACGCTGTATATATATATATATATATATATATATATATATATATATCCTATAAACGCGTCAATTGTTTTGCGAATTAATTTTGACAATGAACGATTAGATAATAATATACGTCTTATGTTAATACGATGTGTTTGTTTCGTTGAGTTCTCTCTCTCGAAAACTTATCCCTCCGTTCGAATGGTTTCATTTTTGGAAGAGGGATGACGATCTCGGATACTTCCCTATGAGAACTAGCAGTCGTCTTGCGTCGAAGATGACTGTAATAGAGCTGCCACACGCTCGGAAAAGTCCCCCGAAACGGAATGCGAACACTGGAAACAAAAAAGAGAAGAAAAAGAGAAATGATACTGTAGTTAATAATATTAGTATCGTTCGTTTTTCTCATCGTTTGTACGTATTATATAGACATAGGTCTCTTTTTTGTACGGTGGATGCGTGTCGCATAAAAAAAAAAAAAAAAAATAAAAAAAAAAATAAAAATAAAAATAAAAAGAAAAAAATAAATAAATAAATAAAATCGTATAAAAAAAGTCCACATAAAAATCAATTTACAAAAAGTATAAAACTCGTGTCAAACTGATCCAATTTATATAGATTAAAATATATATATACATATATATATATATATATATATATATATATATATATAAAAGTCAATTTAAAATATACAAACGCATTCACTAAAAATATTCTATTTGACAAACGCATAAAAAGAAAAGTTAATGCGTTGAGAAAAATATTTCCTTTTTCTTTTCTTTTCTTTTCTTTTCTTTTCTACATTCAAATACGCACACACGATTTTCGTAGCATTTTTTGCGAACTGATCGTGCGGGTTTTTTGCAACCATGTAAAAAGTAAGTAAAACGTGTGAATAAAATTTAATGCGTTAAAAAAGATCGTGAAAGAAAAAATAAAATAAAGTAAAAAAATTTTACCGCGTAAAAAGAGACCCAAATTTATAAATATTATATTATTTTAAGTATGTTAAAATTAATTTCAATCTGCAAATCATTTGTGGTAATTTACTTTTTATATATTTATTAGAGAAATTCAACGACATAGAATCGATCCATAGAATTATAGTAAAATTATAATGTTCGATATTATTCGAACATACCTACCTATTTACATACATACACACATACATACATACATACATACATACATACATACATACATACATACATACATACATATATATATACATACATATATATATATGTGTATACGTATTAGCAAAAATTAAGTAATGAAATGATAAAAAATCGAACATAAATATACGCTCACCGATGAAAATCTTTAAATTTTATGTTGCTTCTGTTTCAGAAATACATATTCTATAGCTGACAGTACAGAAAATGTTGATTTCTCGACGTTGATACCACCCATCTGAGAATCTATAACTAAGGTTTGTTTTTCCAATACATGTGCCTGTGTTTATATCTATCAGCGATACGATAATACTCGTTGTTTTTCCTATAGGGAAAAAAAAAAAAAAAAAAAAAAAAAAGAAAAGGAAAGAAAAAAAATAACGAAAAGAAAGAAAAAAATATCGACGATTTGCATTCGAAAGTTTATATACTCAAAGTGTCTCGTAAAGAACGGAATCAAGAAATAAAAAGTTTATTGCGATATTTATATGAAATAAGAATTTCTTTTTACAATAACGAAAAAACGAAGAAAAATAAAGAAAGAACAAAGAGACATACAAACACAGTTAAAAGTACAGATCGCGGTGGGGAAAAATGAGGTTTAAGTTTCTTAAGTTCTCGCTTTTCCAAATCGAACTGTCCCGTGCAAACGTTTTTCATTTACCGTTTGATTGTACTGCTAGAGAACCTTGAGAAGGTGTCACAAGGTTTCTTTTTTTACATCTATATATTAATTGAAACTTTATGGGGTTAGGCGTAAAGAAACGAAAAATTAAATTATACGTATAATTTATAATTCTTTTTCTAGGCGTCGTAAGTCATAGAAATATTCGGATGACTTTTGAAATTGTAAAATATTTGTTTTTCCCCTTCAAATATAAACAAAGAGTTACGTTATTTTTTTTCCCCTTTCTTACTCTATTTCTTTTTTTTTCTTTTTTTTAAGATCTCTTTAAAATCACAATTAGAATGTGATGAGTTTTACAACATATTACGACGATATTATAGATCTTGATATGTAATCAGAATTATTTTATATCCATTAACAGATATTATTTAATAAATATTATAACTCTGTTAAAATATTTTATTATTTTATATACTTTATATTTATATCTATTTTATATATTACTGATCTATTAAAAGATAATCTAAAAGTAACTCAATATATATAATTGCTTGATTATAAAGACATTGAAAGAATTGTAAAGATAAGATAATCGGATCTTGTATAAAACGTATATGTTCCTTTAAAAATAGGGGAAAAAAAAAAAACAAAAAAAAAGGAAAAGAAAAAAAAAGGAAAAAAAAATTATGGATAATTATTTAACGAATAAATGATTAAATCTCTGAACATAATTATGTTCGAAACATTGTATTTCATTGTTTATGTCCTCGTTTCGAAATTAGTAATATACAAATTCGTTAGATAATGATTAGCTGTGACAAATTAGATCATAGGTAAAGCAAGCGATAGTACTGTTATCGGTATAGTTTATACCTAGAGAATTGATATGCAAACTGCACCGTGGTCCTATTACGAACTAAATACACACTGTATAGGTTACACAGTGTATGTATAAACATATACATCAAGATACGATCATACAATGCCTTCGTATACATCGAATGCGCGCGCATTTATGCCAAGCATTGTGAAATTTAATTAATATTCAGTCAAGACACAACGATGCGCATAGTGTGTAACGTACAAGTTACAGTTTTCCTTGTGAGTCGTCCAAATTGTCCTTTCAAAGATTAAGAGAAATATGGGAGTTGCAAAGTATCTACGTGACAAGATTAGAAACTGGTTCCAACGTTCCTCGATATCATTATACGAGAAGAACGTTTTTTTTTTTTTTTATATATATATATATATATTTTTTTTCGTTTTCTGTTTTTTCTTCACCCCTCCCCTCCTTCTGAATAAGTTGCGGAATAAATTTTTTCTTCTTTTTTTCTTTTTCTTTCTTTTCTTTTTTTTTTTTTTTCTCTTTTTTTTTAGACATTTCTCCGCGATATTTCTTTGTTCTCTTTGTGGCATAGCCACGACGAGCAATCGACTTGAAAGCTATCTTCAAAGAATAATGTGAACGTAGAGAGGACGTATTTCGTAAATTAACATTTCACCCCTTGAGAAATCTTCAAGGACGATTTACATGGATACTTTTAGGACTTACGAGTAATAAAGACAATGAAAAAGAAAGTGTCAAGTGAAGGGATGCTTTAAATATCTAAATATCCTTTTTACAAGATTTGAAAAAAAAAAAATATATATATATACATATATATACATACGTATATATAAAAATGTAATTATATAAATATTTGTCAATAATCATCATTATTATTGTCAATAATCATCAATCGATTGTTGATCGTTTGTTCTTGTATTAGAACGAGAAATCTTCGATTGAGATGAAAAATCAAAGGAGCTTCTTTGGTCTGTTAAGAGTAAAGTGAGATAGTGATTGACTTAAACTTCAAGTAACTACTACTGACGTCATCGTTTGCCCATAGGGTAGTAATTATTCGTCAGTCAAGCGTAAGTTTCTAGCTAGAATCTTTCCTTCTCTCTCTCTCTCCCTCCCTGCCTCTCTCTCTCTTACTCTTGTTTTTTTCTCCTTCCGTTCTTCCACCTTCCATTTTCTTTCGTATACCCTATCCTTCCCTCTCTCATCTGACCTCTACTCCGTTCCGGTGAATAATGAATCCATAGGATCGACGAGAACGACTTTGGCGTTACTTTCTTTTACTCCGTCACCGTGGCTTCGCTTTTTCTGCTACGTTGCAAAAGGTAAAACGAAGGAGGTAACGAACCTGCCTGTCCGTACCACCGTTCAGTTATCCCGAACATCTTAGAAATCTTGGGTTAATTAACAGGAAGAAAATTACTCAACGATAAAAACGTTACAAGCATTATATATATATATATATATATATGTGTGTGTGTGTGTGTGTGTGTGTGTGTGTGTGTGTGTGTGTGTGTGTGTGTGCGTATATATATATATATAAAATATACATATAAATTACATAATATTATATATATATATATATATATATAAATATACATGTAAATTACATATATGTGTATATATATTTTATAGCATTTTAATTGATAATTTTCAATATAGCTTATTTAGTTTCAAATTACGAATGTAATTTTATTCACGATTGAAATTGAAACGTCAATCGAACCGAAGAAAATCAATATTTCAATAGATATTTTATTTGCTTAAAACAATATGTAATTTTGCTCATTCTATTCCTCTCTCTCTCTCTCTCTCTATCTATCTATCTATCTATCTATCTATCTATCTATCTATCTATCTATCTATCCATCTATCTCTCTCTTTCCCTTTCTAGTATAAATCCAATCAAATAATCTATTTAACCAAAGTTGCTGCATAGCGAGAAATCTTGAAATGGTGAAGGACGTCACGAAACGATGGGTTTAGGGAGAAAGATGGAGAACGTAGAAGAAGAGTACACGGAGGTAGGGGTAGTAGTGATGTTGGAGAAGGTGGTAGGTAAGCCTCAATCAACCAGTGTATACATCCGATTTGGGGCGTCTCAGTCTGGTCCTTCTTGAGCAAGAGTTAAGCCAACTAGAACGTTCTAAGATCTTATAGTTCGTAACGACCCTTGACAAGCAAACAATTACGATTCTTTTTTGCTTTTTCTTCCTTTGTCTTTTCATTTGTTTGTTTTTTTTTCTTTTTTTTTTTTTCGTTTATTCTTTCTATTTTATTTTAATTTTACACATTCATCATTTCGTCGAAACGTAATAAAGTGAAAAGATAAACGTTCGGACAAAATTTCACGTTATATCGAAAGGGTGAATATATTATTCATTCGAATAGAATATCAGGAAGCTAATGAACGTATCTATATGTGAACGTATCTATATATGAACTCAAAAAGTTTTAATGGATAACGCGTTAAATAAGGTAAAAGATTCTAAATGTATATCGATAACGTATTAATCATGATATTAATCTTTCTTTTTTTCTTCCTTCCTTTCTTTCTCTCTCTCTCTCTCTCGTACTTTTTTTTCTCTCATCTCTTTTAGAATTCACGTAGTTTCACTGTAATATTTCTACTTGCGTATAAATATGAAATTTGCCACGTGGAAAACCGCAGGCAGTTGTATTAATTAGCGTGGGAAAATGCGCCGGTTGAATGCATTTCGAGTTCATTCATATTGATCCCAAAGAAAGAAAGAAAAAAAAAAGAAAAAAAAAAAAAAAAAAAGAAAAAAAATATAACACGCGTCGGCATTTAATTGGGAGGGAGAGAATTGATTCGAAAATTTAGCCATATCAATTCCACGTGCGACGGATAGAGAATTAATTAGTGCTTCTAAGGAGATTGCACGAACTTCGAAGAACTTTTTCGTGACCGTTCGTGAAAGTGTATAAAAGTTTTGAGCATTTTAGTTTAAGCTTTTTTCTTCTTCTTCTTCTTCTTATTTTTTTCCTTTTCCTTTTTTTTTTCTCTCCTTTGAAATATATCGAGCTCTTTAAACTGAAAGCGCTTTATAAAAATCACGGAAGGAATATGTGTAGTCTTAATCTTTTTATGGAAATCTTAACGCGACATTACTACATTCGAATTATCTTGTTATCCAATATCAGAGAGCCAGTAAAGGAAATCGTGTAGTTACATCTACATATGTATATATACACACACATACACAGACATATTTATAGAGGTACTTGTCGAAGGGTTTGCAAACGTGATATGTTGATAGGGCCAGTTGTTCTAATCAACCGGAAAATCGTAGGTACAACGTCCAGAAACAGAGCAATCGAATTAATTTCGGTAACAAGAAGGTTTCTAACAGCTAATGATAATTACGATTTGAATTCTCTTGCAAATTTAATTAGCTCGTCAATGCGAACATTTAAATGAATCCTTTGAACTTTGAATATTTTACTGTTAAATTGTATTTCAAAATGTCATGGAACTAAGAACGATATCTCTTATATACAATTATTAAATTATTAAATAAAAGTAATATATATATATATATATATATATATATAATAGTATGTAAATTAACGGGAATATTATTACTACAGCGTAAAATACAAAATTTACATTTAGATTTGTATTAAATTCCCTAAGTTGTACAAGCTACGTTTGTACTACTCAAAGGGGTTGTAGAAATGGTTTCGAGAAATCTTGGACACCTGCGCGAACACTTAGCAGTTGAAGCGAAGAAATTTAATCACCATTTGAGAAACGGCTTTGGTTCGAATTATTTAACATCTCTTCAAAAAGAAATTCATTCGATGGAAGAAACGTCATGATAAGATTCCACGATGGTTCGTGGCGAAATTTAAACTTTTCACAATCCTGGCTTTAAAGGTCGAGAACTCTGTAAGATCGAGGTGACACAGTATGACACAGAGGTTCGTATTGAAAAAGATAATGCTCGATACTTTATGGCGTCGATTTTCATAAAACAAGTTTCTGGACGAAAACCGCAAAGAAGTTTTTTATTGTCAGGGATGATCAGCCGTACGTACCGTACGTGCTTTATGCGACGATAAAAAAAAAAAAGAAGTAAAAAGAGAGAGAAAGAGAGAGAGAGAGAGAGAGAAAGTGATGGTAAGAAAAGATTGAAAGAGGTAAGAAAATAAAAAATAGGAAAAGAAAAAAGGAGGGAATGAGAGAGAAAGAGAGATAGTTAGAGAGAGGAAGAAAAGAGAGAGAAAAGGAAAAAAAAATAGGGAACGGAAGGGAAAGGCAATGGTAGGTGATCTAAAATGTCCCTGGGAAGTTCTACTAAAACTACGAGTCTACGAGTCTACGAGTCTACGAGTCTTCTCTATCCATGGCTCCTTACCTATCCAAGACCTTCCTCGTCGCACTTATTTTCCCTTATGGCCCATAAAAATAGAAACGCGCGCGCTTCAAGGACAACGGAGAAATGTTCCCATGGGATTACTGTGGGATAGAGAGAACCACCAGAAAGAGAATGGCGTATAACAATAAAAGACCAATAGAATATCGTGCACGTACGAGTAATACATATTGCATGGTCTAAACCACATCTCACTCTTTCTTTCTTACTTAATTCTAAAATTCTTAAACTTGCGTATTATCGAAGTCACATTTTATATATATTTTCCTTTTTGTACGACTTAGTCCTTTATTATTATTATTATTATTATTATTATTATTATTATTATTATTATTATTATTATTATTATTATTATTATTATTATTATTTATCAATTTATATTTCTTTTTGTTTCATAAATATCTTAAACTCATGAATTTTGAAATTGGTCAATATACATTCTTTCTATCGGCCATAGACATTCCTGAATTGCAGGAAGCTTGAAGTTACTACACCCTAGTCACAGCTGTTGTTCTTCCTTACTCCAGTGCCGGACCCAAACCACCGCCATTCGAAGAAATACTGAGACAAAACGGTTTCAGCCGCCACGACTCCAACGATAAATGGCGTTCCACCGTTTCTTCTCACCTTAATAGTATCTTCACGACGAATTGAGTCTCTCGTGTTGATGAAATGAACGGAATTAATTGGTTACGAACTAGTATAACGGATTATTAAATGCAAAATGCGACTTTGCTAGTTTCATCAGAATATACATTTTTTTGACATATACTTGAATATCTTCGAATAAAATAAAGATATATGCGTCGAAAGGTATAAAAAAAAAAAAAAAGAAAAAAAAAAGACGTGACTAAGATAAATTAATAAAAAGTGTAAATACGTAAAATGGTAAATCATGATTGAATATAAATATTTGATATTCGTTAATTTACTTTAAAACAAAGTTCAACACGAAGTGAAACTTTTTTTTTCTTTCCTTTTTTTTTTTTTTTTTTTTTTTTTTTTTAGTGTAAACTTCCACTCGCACAAACGATACAAAACAAAATTGTATCAATCATCGATATAGTTTCTGTTTTTTTTCTTATTTATTTTTTTATTTTTTTTATTTATTTATTTATTTATTTTTTTTTTTATTATCATCATTATCATTATTATCATTATTTTTTTTCTTTTTTTCTTTTTTTCTTTTTTTTTTTTAATGTTCTTTTTAAAATTCTTTTATCGAGTATATCAGTAACGTTAGTGAAATCAATTTTTCTCTACCATACTTCAGCCAAACACATAACTGAGTTATCTGGCTTCTTTTTAAGTTCGTGAGAAACTAAGGTATCCTTTAACCTCTCCCCCTCTTTCCGCCCCCCTCCCTCCCTCTCTCTCTCTCTCTCTCTCTCTCTCTCTCTCTCCGTCTCTTCTTCTTGCTTGCTCCACGATTATGATGAACCCTTCTGAATAATGTATGACACGCAGTAGAGATCCCACTGTTCCACTTTCTTTCCTCCTACAGAAACGTAGGATTTGGTTAGTACCTTCCTTCGTTTATTCTCCTTTTTTTTTTTTTTTTTTTTTCTTTTTGGCGAATAGTAGCATCGATAAGATCTGAGAGTAGTTTACAGAATCGAAAGAGAATATGTACTTGATTTACCAATGCTAAACCATAAAAAAGATTTTATCACATTGTACTCTTATGTATGGTACATATAGATATATATATATATATAGTTATATACTTATAATATAATTTAGTTATATAATTACAATATATACATATATATGACTGATTTGTTTCAATATTTCTTTTTTTTTTTTTTTTTTTTGATTTTTGTATTTCTCGATATGATATTCGATAAAATCGATATTATCAAAAAATAACGGAATGGTGAAATAAACAAAACCTTTCGCATCACTTTCGTATCATCTCTCGGGGTACAAAGTAAAGAGAGAAAAGCCCCGGGGTAAGATCGAAGTATGCATATCTGGGAACGAAGGTAGAAAAACATGTGATGTGTTGTAGAAAAATCAACCTGGAGGGTATATAACTAGTTCACAGTAAAATCGAAAAATCCTATCAAAACGAAAGGTACGTATATAGTAACAAAAGGTATTCACTGTATTTGTTATTAGAATATATTCATATTTCGAAATTGTTTCATTTGATTTTTAAACGAATATAACAAAAGAATCTCTCTGTATGCATGTACCTATAATATATATTGCAATAGATATATAATATAACAGAGTAATTTTCACCTGGTACTTAACAATCAATTTCGTTATATTTGTTTCATTTCGATGAAGTGTACTTTTGATATATATATATATATATATATATATATATAAAAATCTAACAAATAGAAATAATGAATATACGTATAGATAATTGAGCAGTGATAACTCAGTATATTGTAGTTTATAATAGCTATTAATGCTAATAGTCCGTAATTCTTATTATTAGTATTATCATTATCATTGTCATTATTATTATTATTCATTAATTAATATTCTCAATTAAATGTCTATGATTGAAGATGCTCGATATGATGTTATTCATTAAACTTTCGAGTAACATGAGAACAAACGAGTATATAGAAAAATCTTTATTAATATTTTTTTAATTAAAAAAAAAAAGAAAAAAAAGTAAATAAAGTTTTGACATAATGAACAAATAGATGAATATTGTAATTTTTTTATTACTATTATTATTATTATTATTATTATTATTATTATTATAAAATAATAACACATTTAACATAAGTAATTGATCTAATATATATGTCTAAAATGTACTTGAAAATATTTAATTTCTCATTAAGAACTCATTATTCTCGTTTATAATCAATATCTTTTGTTTTCCGATAGTCAAAATCTAATCGTCAAAATGATTTTCATTTTCAATTCGTACGATTAAATATAAATCTTTATATACGTACGTTAATATATTATGTATGTATAATATATTTTTCAACGTATAAACAATTTTCAGGTAGATATTCGTAATTTCCTGGAGAGAATTGAAACTACTGTTATTTGTCTGTCGGGGCGAAGTTATTTAATAAAAAAGTTTCAGGATACATCCTATATCCAATGTTTCACGATATCTCCCTATCAGGAGATAAAAATATGTTGTCTGATAAAAGTTTGAAAAATATCACAATGGGATATGGTTATTTGTTCTTATATGTCAATGTTGCAGAACGTTGCACGTAGTAGAAAAATATACATACTTATGTATGTGTATGTACGTATTGCAAATAAATTATTAACCAACACTAATAAGACAAAGCGGAAGTTATTTCATCTAGCAACGACGTTAGATCATTCTCGGTTTCTCTTTCCCTTGGCACTTCTTTTTTTTTTTTTTTTCTTTTTTTTTGGCTTATTTTTTCTCTATTTTGTCGTTGTTGGTAGTTGCTGTTGTTGTCCTCGTTTCATTTTCGTAGAACTTTACCAAGTCTATTATATATAGGAAACTCTTATAATATCCCTCGGTGCCATATAGCATTCGAGTATTCACTTCAACGATGAAAAAATTATAATATAAAAAAGCGTTGATCCGTTCTTGTTTTTCATTCTTGTTTTTCATAGAGTTTTTGTCAGAGCAAGTATAATACAATACTTTTCCATTTTTTAGTTGACTTCTGTCATTTCGCATTTATAGTGTTCTGAGCACGATGCACGATAACTCCCAATTGCCTTAGGAGGAGTGAAAGGCCAAAGTTCTTTTCAAAGAATAGAATAAAAAGAATACGGAGGGGGATAACTATAAGGGGGGGGGGGGGGGAAGAAAAACGTGTGGAAGGATCAGAGAGAGAGAGAGAGAGAATTCGCTAATAAAACTTTATATCGGTGATCCCATGTTTTATAGTTCGAACCACGTCTTTTCTTTGAAATCTCGAAGCAGGATCTGCACCCTCTTTGTACTTACTTCTATTTTCTTTCTTTCTCAGAAGAAAACTTCTTCAATCCCACGTACTTGTTGATTTTCCGTGGAAACTTTAAGATCGCTTTTAGTGACGGCACTGTATCGTTAACTTATAAAAGAGGACCAAGGGATTTGTACCTTTTTTCGAGAACCCTCTCCGATCTCTTTCTTTGTCTGTTTCTTTTTCTTGTCTTGTCTTCTTTTTTTTTTTTCTTTTTATCTTTTCTTCTCTTCTATTTTCCTTTTTCTCTCCTTCGTCTATAAGACACTACTTTTTTTTTTCTTTTTTCCTTTTTTTCCTTTACAAACGAAAATTTTCTGAACAACGAAATTATACGCTTAAACGAGTAAGAATTCGTCGCGTTAAATTTAAATACAAATTCGCACTAAAGGACAAAGACGTTATGTGTATGCCTGTGTAAGAGATACATAAATAAATTTGAAAATGTTTGAAATCTCGTTGATAACTGACGGGGCTACGCTACACGATCTGCCACAAAGTTGAAGAAGTTTCAAATGTATTTGTGGATCCGTAAAGTTTCGACGAACGAAGTAACGCGATCGTGGGCGGCTTCTATGAATGCACTGAGCGGAAAACAAGGAAGAGAGCCTGGAGAAAATGGATGAATGAAAAGCAATTATGCAGTTGCCTTCTGCGAGTATTTAGCGTGCAAGCCCGCCGCTTGATGTTCGTATTATTATTCGAAGAAAGAGGTCGAGATAGCGTGTTGGTAGTAAATATATATGTCTATGTATTTATATACATACATATAAACATACATATATATATATATATGCATGTATATATATATATGTATATATGTATATATATATATATATATGTATATATATATATATATATAGATATATAAGTTGGTAAGTAGTATACGTGAATAGACGATGGCGATATCTCGAAAATGTGAGCCCTTCGAGTTTCTCTCTTACGGCGAAGGATTGCACTAAAGTGCTTCCCTTCCAGCGTGGCAAAAGGACGGATTTACAGAGGAGAAAAGAGAAAGAAACAGAGAGAGGGAGAGATAGAGAGAGAGAGAGAGAGAGAGAGTGAGAGGAAGGGAAAAAGAGAGAAAGAGGGAAAGAGCAGAAGACCGGTTGCGCAAAGTCACTATAACTCTCCAGGATTTTCCGGACGTAGTGATATAAAATAGAAAGAGAAATATAGAGAAAGAAAGAACGAGAGAGAGAGAGAGAGAAAGAGAGAGAGAGAGAGAGAGAGAGAATTGCAAATCACGTATTACGCATTCGATGCGTGAGAGCGAATTTCCCCATTGTTACGGTTATCGTCAGTTCGATATTCCTATTAATTCTCTTGGGAAATTTTACAACTATCACCGTACGCAATTATGAACGACGTTCCCTTCTATCTTTCTTTCTCTTTCTCTCTCTCTCTCTCTCTCTCTCTCTCTCGATATTTTCCTTTTGTATTAAAGGTAAACTGGACCGCTACGCACGAGACGAATTTCGAGTTTGAATCTTTTAATCCCTCGACAAAATAAATACAAGCAGATAAATGACGGTGGTAGGAATACGTGAAAATAGGGATTAACGAATTTCATCTCGTTTCTCTACCTCTTTCTCTCTCTCTCTCTCTCTCTCTCTCTCTCTCTCTCTTTCTTTCTCTTTCTCTCTCTTTCTCTCTCATTCTCTAACTTCGTATTTATCGGATTACGTGTGTCGCGAGACATTAAGCCACAGAAGTGTGTTTTGCGAATTTATCAGGTTGAATCAGAAAAAAGAGAGATGTGGAGAGAGAAACAAGAGGGAT